GGCCCTGGTGGGGGGGAAGGGTGGGGGCCTTGGCGGGGGGGGTCTGCCCTGCCAGTGCCGGCTGCAGTGATGATTCTCCTTACACATTAGAACTTCTGACGTGGATGAAGTGAAGCTGAGTCTGAGCCCCCAGTGTCAGGTCCCACGGGCCCACTTTGCCCACAGCCTGTTTCTGCCCTGTGGGGCCTGGCCCCATCCCCACACATGCATCAGGCCCACGCACTGGGGCTGCAAACCTCACCAGACTCCTCCTCTTCGCAGGTACCTCAGGAGCCAAGTGGCGTCCTGCTGCAGTCCCTGGAGAGCTCCCGCCTGAAGCGGCCTAGTGCCCACTGACCTGCACTTATAAACAGCAACAAAATGTCTGAGCTGGTTTCCTTGCTGAGCTGCGTGGCGCTGCCTTTGAGTGGGTGCAGTGTCCCATTGACAGCTGCACGGGCTAAGCAGCGGTGCAAGCAGAAAAGCTTGTTTGTAACTGGTGTTTCTTGGCTAAACCCAGGAACATCAGGATGGGACTGGGGCGATGCTGAGAGCTCACTTGAAGATCATCCTTAAACTGACCCAGTCGGCCCTGCTGGGTGCAGGAGTGGGCTGAAGGTAGGGGAGAGGGTGGCCTAATGGATAAGGCATCAGCTGAAGGTCCTATTTGGAAATCATGGGAGGGTGGGCAAAGCCCGCCCACCTTCTAAAAGCCCCTCCCCAGCCTTACGGGAGGGACACTGGACCCATGTCCAATTAATTGCTTGGGACAAATAATGACAAAAGGGTCAGGGAGTGCGGGCTAAAGGTTCAAAATAAGGGAGCCGGATGGGGACACCGAGCAGAGAACCCCGGACAGCGCCCACTGCTCCTCAAAGCTATCGAAGGAGCCAGTGGATGCCGCCCAGAGGAACTCTGCCCGGATTCGTGAAACCAGGGAGGAACGGAAATAGGCCCCACAGTCGCAGAGAACCCCCTCGTCCAACATCCTGCTCCTGGTATTATAGATGGTGGTCTTTGCTAGGGCCAGGAGCATCAGCTGAAGGTACAGTGGTGAGGTGGGTCCCAGTGATCTAATGGATAGGGCATTAGCTCCTGCAATTGTGGGTTCAAGTCCCACCTGTGTCCCCACACACCCAAAGGCTAGAGCACCACCACCATCTTCCTGCTGGTGAGGAAAGAAAAGCCTTCAGGGGAATGGCAACCTATGGATATGCAACCTGGAGGCTTTCCCCACTGCTCCTGTTAGTCGGTGCTTCCCCCCATCCATAGAACCTGGCCAAGACCCCTGCCAGCTCTTGCACCCTCCATCCTGATCAGACACCCCTACATCCAGCAGGGCTGTCTCAGGACAAGGTGGAGGGCAGCTCCACCTCCTCCAGAAAAGGCAGGGCTGAGGGAAGTCAGTCCTTAGGACTGGCTGAGCTTGGTCCAGCCCCAGCCAGGTAAGGTAATTCACCCCAGAGCCCCTCACATACTTTACTACCGTTCCTTGCCTCTTGCACCCTCCCACACACCCTGAACCACTCATGGATCCCAAGCCAGACTCCAATGTTTCATTTATGCTATTATTCATCATGTCAATTATCAATAATATTAAGTTGTATATTTTCAGGCATTCTTATATGGCTCTTGACCACTTGTTCTGAATATTGATGTAGTTTGGCTCTTTGGTTGGAAAAGTTTGCCGATCCCTGCCTCATCCCCTACCCTTACAGGATTCTGAAAGTCGAGACCCTGCATTCGCAAGATTCTTTCTGCTGCAAGCCCTTTCATTTGGAACAACATAGCACAGTCCTACTCTTCTGTATTCCCACAAAATTACAAACCTTGATAATCATATTTCAGCTGGCCTGCATTTAATATAAACATAGCTGGTGTCGGGTTACAAATTAAGTTGATTACGATGAGCAAAATACCACTCCCTATGCTGAATGTCCCAACAAATCTAAGCAAAGCAGAAGCAAACTGTATTGACGTAGACCAGTGGTCCCCAACCTTTTGAGGCTGCCGGGCGCGTCTGGGGGTGGGGCTGTGCATGCACCATGCGCCAAGTGGTGGGGCCGCACCTGTGCCATGTGTCTGGGGCTGACGCCGTGCGCCTGGGGCAGAGGCCGAGCATGCACCACATGCTCGGGGTGCAAGAATGGCTTGGGCCGGCCCTGGTCACTCAATGGGTGCACATAAATGCCCCAGCGGGCGCCATGGCGCCGGCAGGGACCACTGACATAGACCCAGGGTCTCTCCCTGCTTCCAGCTAGCTGTCATGGACGCATTCCTTCAGATCCTACTTATATCAAGACAAGAAGTAATGGGCTTAATCTGCAGCAAAGGAGATTTCAGTTGGGTCTGAGGAAAACCTTCTATCTATAAGGATAGTTACACACGGGAATAGGCTTCCAAAGGTGGTTGTGAAATCCCTGTCACTGGAGCTTTATAAGACCCTGGTAGACAAACACCTGTCAGGGACGGTCTGGGATTCTTAAACCTGCCTCAGCTGGAGGAATGGACTAGATGACCTCTTCAGGGTCCTTTCCAGCCGTAATACGTGTCTATGACTCTGCGCTGGTCAGCATTGCCCTTCAGCAGAGGAGTCAGTTGAAACTAGAGATGGCGATGCCGGGGGAACGATGCTGCAGCCCGAAAAAGGCTGGTGCCGGAAACAACCTCATTGTCCCAAAATGAAGATGGTGGTAACTAGGGTACAGCTGCACAATGTCAGCTGGGATCCCTCAGCAGAACCTGGGATAAACCCTGCCACTTGCTAGCTTTTTCCTTCCCCGTCCTCTTCCCTACCAGTCTGCCTTCTGCTTCAAAAATCAAGCCAGCCAAGCCTCTGCAAGGTGGGAGGCAATGTGAGTCCCAAGGCATGTGAGGAATCTTGAGCCCTCATCCTTATTCTGCTCCCTCTCTGCATTATCCTCCCTAATTCTGCCTCCCAACCCTGCAGCAATTACCTGCACTCTCCACCTCCCTACCTGCCACATCAACCTGGGAACTCCATAATGGCTAGATGTCAGCAGGCAGGAGCTGAGAAGGAAGACAGAGAGTCCACCCACCTGCCTGGAGCCATCATCCTTAGTAGCTTGGAGGAGCAAATGCAGCTTGCCTACACCTCTGCTGCAGTTCTAGACAACTACTTACTGTATTTTCTTCACACAACACACAGTCAACCAGTGGAACTCATTGCCAGAGGATGTTGTGAAGAGCAGGACTTTAACAAGGTTCAAAAAAGAGGTAGGTAAATTAATGGAGAATAAGGATAGCCTGAATTTGCACAAATGGTGTCCCCAACCTCTGTTTGTCAGAAGATGAGAATGGGGGACAGGGATTTCCTGTTTTGTTCATTCCCTCTAGAGCACCTGGCATTGGCCAGTGCTGGAAGACAGAATAAGCAGCCGGCATTGGCCAGTGCTGGAAGACAGAATATTGGGCTAGATGGACCATAAGTATGGCCAGTCTTATGTTGTTATGTTTAAAAATGTGAACCAAAGAAGTCTGATTACTCAAATATTGGTTATGAAAGTTGATTTTGATAAATTATTATAACTTATGTGAATGTTGTACTGAAATCTTAAGCAAGTGCATCTTGGAAAAAATCCAGATCTTATTTTTTTTCCTCCCCAAACATGTTGCGTTTCCTTCCCTTTGCCTGAAAGTGACACATTTCAAATGCTGAAGCCTACATTCCACTTCTAAAATAGATACTTTCACCCACGAATGCATGTGTTTAATTATCAGTTTTGCGCAATCCATGTTGTGCACGTGCTGAGACCTGTTTGCATATGCTTATGTAATTCTGACAGGCAGAACCAAGCCTGGGACCTCTAAAGCTTAGTGCATGAGCCTCTACTGAGTGAGCTAAAAGCCAGCTGCCTTTCAGGTAAGGTTGTAGAGTAGACTGAGTCTCTTCGTAAGTGGTCTAGCTGCCTCTAGGTGGGACAGTAGACCACACTCATACACATTTGCATTTTGAAACTATGGCCAATCATTTTTTCTTAATACTTAAAAGCAAACAATGTATACAAAGGATGTAAAATCCCTTTTAACCAGTTAAATGGGATCCCACGGGTGGGGGCCCCTGAAGCCCGGCCAGGCTGGAGCAGCCCTCCCCCTGTGGTGTGTTGGGCCTGGCCAGGATGGAGTAGCCCCTCGCATGCATGGTGTAGCACAGCAGACCTGGCTGGGCTGGAGCAGCCTGACCAAGCCCAGCCAGCCTTGGGCTGCTCCAGCCAAGCAAGGCTGAGACCACTGCAGGCAAGGGGCTGCTCCGTCCAGGCCGGGCCCACTGCGCCATACCAGATAGGGGAAGGGGCTTCTCCAGCCTGTCTGAGCCACCAGTTAACCAGTTACATCTCTAATGTATATTCAGGTTTTCCTGAAAACTTCCCACTGTTGCTCTCACATTAGTAACATTCCACTAATATTAGAGAAGTGTAAATTGATCACTGACCTTTTCGCTACTAAGTCCTCTACTCCCAATTCAGAGATGCTCAGATGTATTGGTGAAACTGCTAGCAATTTATTTGCACTGGAACATGTTGTACCTGCATTCAGCTGGAGTACAGGTGGGAGATTTCCTGAAAACCTTCGTTGTAGACAAGGCCCTAATAGTTTTGCATTCATAGTATCCAAGCTCCTGAAAAACACAGTTGCTCTGTAATATATCTGGTTCAGCTGGTTTCATCCCTCTCCCAGTGAAAATCATTTTGTAAATGTAATACTGTATTTAAATGCAATTTCAGTCCTGTTGCATAATGTGTAGTTGACCTAATTACATATCTTTAATCTGTACAACTAAATGAGTTTTCTAAGCAGTTTTCTAAGGGATAGCATATCACAGAGTCACTCTAATCTTCCCATCCCACCACTCAAGAGTTGTTCTTTTTGCACTGCAATTTGTTGGCTTTCCAAATGCTGCTTTTTATAAATGTGGTGGTAGTGTTGCCTAGAGAATAGAACACTATTACACTGAGACAGCTCTGCCCACTAAGCTGAAATTGGGCATGTCACTTTAACCGTTCTGTGCCTCAGTTTACCCAGCTGTGCAAAAGGGGTAACAATGGCATTCCAGTTTGATTTACACTAACCCCTAGCTTTTACACAGCTTGGTAGGTCAAAGCCCTTGGCAAAGGAGGTCAGAATTCA